TATGCCTAGCATACATATAGGTTATATATCGAAACCCCCAACTTTTGTAAAATTGCACAAAGGCCCAAACTTTCTCAAAATTACCCAACAACCCCCAACATATCAAAATGCTAAAATTCAAAGACAAAGCTCATAAGATGGAGTAGGTTATCCCTACCTCAAATAATGGGACCCAACGAAGAGGTGAAGAAACGGAAATGCTCCAAATCCCGAAATTTTCAGATTAAAAGATAGCCCTCGACGATCAACACAACTTTTGTAAAGGCCCACTGTGAGAAAACAACTCCTACTAGATCAATCCTAAGAGAGAAGTTAGGGTTTAGTGAGAGGAACTCTCAAAATAGCTTTTTGGAAAAGTAAGAGAGAGAAAGGATGTTGAAAAGTAAACAAAAAAGTCGGATCTCGCTTTATAACAAGTCGCCCCGCTCGAGCGCCAAACTCCCCGCTCGAGCGTCACTCACGGATCCCCACTCGAGCGTCCAATTTCCCCCCTCGAGCGGCAAATGCACATTCCCAGAACTTTACAGACATGTTCCCGCTCGAGCGTCAGACACAAACTCGCGCTCGAGCGGCCAATCCTCCGCTCGAGCGTCTACCGCTGCAGACGAAATACTGGATGGGTGATTTCCCCGCTCGAGCATCAACAACCCCGCTCGAGCGGACAAGCAACAACAGAGTCCCGCTCGGGCGTCAAAAGCGCAGCTCGAGCGGAGAGACCAAAAACTGGGCGAAGATTCTACGTTTTAAAACACAACCAACTTATTCCCAACTTGCCCAACACGACCCAAAGCTCGAACACAAAGAGGAAGGGATGGAAAGAGGATAAGACAACGGCACCCTTACGAAATCGAATCCGGATTATAGTTAAACGCGAAAGGGAAATTAACAAACAAAACATATATGTATATATATAGATAAACAAACAGTTTAGATGTTTCAACATTTCCCAAAACACATTGGTTACACAATAGAACCCAATGATCACAAAACAATAATCCACTGATTACACAACGGATTAGTCAAAACAAAACCATCCCATCGGTATTACCACCACTATTGTCCCTTGCTGGACCGCCGAAGTTGGTCATCCCCAAACATAAGATAACCTACGAGCTTACAAGCCACGGACAAGAACTACTGACGTGCCCCCTCTGTCCACACCTGGAACAATTACAAACTTCCCCAACTGGGGCTTGGGAACTCGACTCTACTGAGGCCCTCGTAATCTGGCCTACTAGTCCCCCAAAACGATACTGTTCCTGCCCAGTCGAATGAAACTGAGCCTGGCTAGGTTGCAAAACCCCTAAAGAAGCTCCGGCTGAGTACAGAAAAGTCGAATATGACCCGGCTGATTACACCTCCAACAAGCAGGCGGTGCCTGAGCATGAGACTGGTTCGGAACCTGGGCTGAAGAAGACCCCAACAACTGCCTCCCCACTGAGCATTTGTTTGGCCCAAAACCTGGCTGGTTAGGTGATCCTGGTGGTACAACTACTGGTTAAACTGCTAACCTTGCCCCCTTCTTCTGTGGGCAAACCGAAACCTTGTGGCCCAGCAGACCACATTTGAAACAAATGACAGCCCTCTGTTTACGTTCTTCCGAACCCAAATCCAACACTGGAAAGGTAGTTCTAGCCTGACCTCCCTGTTGCGGGTTTAAACCCCTCTACCTCTTAAAAGGCCTACCAACACCCTGAGTCACGGGAGTTGCCGAGATGGCTCCCTCCCCATTCTGCCCCATTGCTAGCACCGCAACCTCTACATGGGCGGCCGCCTCAACAAGCACCCTATATCTTTTATGCCAAGACCCCGCTATCCTTACATGGATGTCGTCACGTAGCTTACTCTCAAACTCGTAACAATGCAAGTCCTCCGTCTCCACCAATTCTGGAGCAAACCTCGACAGGTTAGCAAACCATCTTTCGAACCGCACCAAAGGTGTAGTACCTTGGCGTAACTGCACAAACTGTTTCCGCAGTTCTTCCTGAGCGGAAGGAGGGAAATCGCAACTTCCTCGCCTAGGCATCCTAGTAAAAGTAACAGAGACACGTTAGCACACTCATACATGTGCCGAAGCTAAACACTCGCGTCCTAACACATGGACAACTGTAATTCACTCCACGTAAGCACATAAACACATAAGCACTTACGAATTTCATTTCCGGATAATGATAGTCCCGAGGCGTTACTAGAGTTCTGTTCAGAAATAGCATTGATCAAGTGCCTTTCCAGCAGGACTCCCAGAAACCCAAGGATCCAATCAACATCCAAGAAACTACATTCCATACCCAAATAATCACGTAAACATGTTATCACATAAGTACATAACATTACGTCTAAGTCTCTAACAAGCGAGACAAACCCATTGTGATACTAATCACTTCCCACGTACCCAAAGTATTCGAACCCGGTACGCTCTGATACCAAGTTGTAACGCCCTCAAAATAATGACATTAAACCCAAAAATATAAACCTACATTTATATACAAAAGATCCACATTCTTCAATTCATCAGAGTAGTTCTTACAGCAGCATTACAAGTTAACAACAATAATAAATGCCCTACGGGCTTACAGCTTTCCAAGTCAACGCTTGGTTACAAAAAAATAGAGTACTAACTCAAATGCACATTAAGCCCTTGGCTAGAATTTACACGTAATACATCCAAAAGGAAATAAGACAACAAAAGTCTGTCCGTCTCTAGCCTCCCAAGCTATGTCATTGGAGGTGGCATGCTACTTGTACCGGAAAATGATGTTCCCATATAGGGTGAGCCATTGCCCAGTAGAAATATACTAAACCAACTATGAACAATGACTAAGAAATTAGCAAGTGATAGATGGTCAACATTGACACTTCCATTTACATCTTATTACAATTTCATGACGGTTACAATTCACCTTCCATTTCTTTTTCAACTTTGGGTTTGAAAACAAGGTTCAATACTCTGGCCAAAACATTTGATGGGATTATAGTTCATCACTAGAACATTTTCGAAATTTGAGGTGGATACACATTTTGGTGTTGTACCAATAACACATAAACTACTTCCATACTTCACAAACGATGATGACATACATTTTAGTGCTATATCAAATCAAACAAACTTTTCAATAGATAAGCATATGAGCTATATCACTACCACAACAGACAAGCATATGAGCTATATCAATACTTCAACAAATAAGCATATGAGTTATATTCAATACTACAACAGATAAGCATATGAGCTGTATCAACATTTCAATAGATAAGCATATGAGCTGTATCAATACTTCAATAGATAAGCATATGAACTGTATCAACATTCCAATAGATAAGCATATGAGCTATATCAATATTTCAACAGATAAGCATATGAGCTGTATCAACATTCCAATAGATAAGCATATGAGCTGTATCAACACTTCAATAGATAAGCATATGAGCTGTATCAACACTTCAATAGATAAGCATATGAGCTGTATCAACACTTCAATAGATAAGCATATGAGCTGTATCAACACTTCAATAGATAAGCATATGAGCTGTATCAACACTTCAATAGATAAGCATATGAGCTGTATCAACACTTCAATAGATAAGCATATGAGCTGTATCAACACTTCAATAGATAAGCATATGAGCTGTATCAACACTTCAATAGATAAGCATATGAGCTGTATCAACACTTCAATAGATAAGCATATGAGCTGTATCAACACTTCAATAGATAAGCATATGAGCTGTATCAACACTTCAATAGATAAGCATATGAGCTGTATCAACACTTCAATAGATAAGCATATGAGCTGTATCAACACTTCAATAGATAAGCATATGAGCTGTATCAACACTTCAATAGATAAGCATATGAGCTGTATCAACACTTCAATAGATAAGCATATGAGCTGTATCAACACTTCAATAGATAAGCATATGAGCTGTATCAACACTTCAATAGATAAGCATATGAGCTGTATCAACACTTCAATAGATAAGCATATGAGCTGTATCAACACTTCAATAGATAAGCATATGAGCTGTATCAACACTTCAATAGATAAGCATATGAGCTGTATCAACACTTCAATAGATAAGCATATGAGCTGTATCAACACTTCAATAGATAAGCATATGAGCTGGAGGTGAAGAAACGGAAATGCTCCAAATCCCGAAATTTTCAGATTAAAAGATAGCCCTCGACGATCAACACAACTTTTGTAAAGGCCCACTGTGAGAAAACAACTCCTACTAGATCAATCCTAAGAGAGAAGTTAGGGTTTTAGTGAGAGGAACTCTCAAAATAGCTTTTTGGAAAAGTAAGAGAGAGAAAGGATGTTGAAAAGTAAACAAAAAAGTCGGATCTCGGCTTTATATACAAGTCGCCCCGCTCGAGCGCCAAACTCCCCGCTCGAGCGTCACTCACGGATCCCCACTCGAGCGTCCAATTCCCCCCTCGAGCGGCAAATGCACATTCCCAGAACTTTTACAGACATGGTTCCCGCTCGAGCGTCAGACACAAACTCCCGCTCGAGCAGCCAATCCCCCGCTCGAGCGTCTACCGCCGCAGACGAAATACTGGATGGGTGATTTCCCCGCTCGAGCATCAACAACCCCGCTCGAGCGGACAAGCAACAATAGAGTCCCGCTCGGACGTCAAAAGCGCAGCTCGAGCGGAGAGACCAAAAACTGGACGAAGATTCTATGTTTTAAAACACAACCAGTTTATTCCCAACTTGCCCAACACGACCCGAAGCTCGAACACAAAGAGGAAGGGATGGAAAGAGGATAAGACAACGACACCCTTACGAAATCAAATCCAGATTATAGCTAAACACGAAAGGGAAAGCCGGGATCGCTATAAATCCTCTCAAGTACCATCTACTAAGGCTCATTGGGATGCAAAATCAAATGAAATCTTTATTAAGCTTTGTGTTGACCAAGTGAAGGTTGGACACAGACTTGGTACACACTTAGATAGGGTCGGGTGGGAAAATGTCATAACTTCGTTTAAAACTATGATTGGAAAAACATACCAACGACTACAAATGAAAAACCATTGGAATGTGTTGAGAAAAGATTGGCTTTTGTGGAACAATCTTTTAAGGGGTGAGACCGGCTTAGGCCGTGACACATTGACTGGAGCTATATCTGCATCTGATGAGTGGTGGACCAACAAATTGGAGGTATTTAAATTGCTTAATGTACATATTATGTTTGTTTTTGTTGTTTAAACGCACCAAATTTTGATAATTGTAAATGTTTATTTTTTTCTTTGTAATTGTTGTAGAGGTATCCTGATGCTGCTAAATTTCGACGTATGCCATTGCAATTTAGTGAAGACTTAGACATACTATTCTCAGATGCAGCTACTACGGAGAATGGGCATACACTCCTAGTTCAGGGGTTATGCCTGACGTTGATGACAATGAGGAGGAATTTCATACCCCACATGATGCTGAATATGATGATGATGCTTTGGAGGTGATTCATCCCTCTAAGTTAAACAAAAAGTGTTCATCAAACACACCTGCTTCATCAACCAAGAGCAAGAAGACGAAATTTACTGGTGCAGCTCTACTTAACAAGACACTTGCTCGCATAGTCAATGTGGTTGAGTCATCTTCAGGAACTTCAACACAGACCTCATCAAGATATCCTTCAACTGCAGATTGTTTGGCGATGTTGGAAAACATCCCTGGTGTGTCCCCGGATGATGACCTGTATGTATGGGCCGCCTGATTGTTCTTAGGAGACAAGCGTCGGGAGTGTTTCATGAGTCTTCCTACGGATGAAGTTTGCCTTAAGTTTATGAAGTTGGAGATTGAGATGGAGAAGGCCACCACAGGTTATCGCGGCTAATTGTGGACTGTCCCATTGTTATTAATTATGGAGTGTTCTGTTGGACTTCTTATTTTAGTAATTGTGGACTATTGCAATATTTCCCTAATATTTCCTTTTATGAATATTGACTAGTTGGACTTTTAATTGTGGACTTATTATTTCAAATTTTATTAAATTATGTTGGACTAAATTGTTGAATGGTTGGTGAATGGTTGACATGTTGACTTGTTGAATGGTTGGGGAATGCAATTAGTTGTTGAATGTTAGTTGAATATGCCTGGTAGGTCAATGGTGAAGGTTATATATATGTAGTTGAATGGTTTACTCAATTCATTTTTGTGCTTTACATTGTTTTTCCTTTACATTTCAATCTGTCTAGGTAATAATTTTGTTGAAGTTGAAGGTATAATTTTCTTACTTTACATTTTAATGTTTCACCTATGTCATTTTTGTATGGCCATTATTTGTTCATATGACAGGTTGAAATGTAAAGCATGAAATGTATGACAGGTTGCATGAAATGGATAAATGGATAAATGGATGACATTATTTGTTATTTTTTTTATTTGTTCATATGGCCATTATTTCTTTATTTGGGATAAATGGAAGACAGGTTGCATGAAATGTAGCTATGGAATTTTTGTGATGGAATACTACTTTCTTAGTCCCATAGTCATAACAGTCATAACAGTGCTTCTTTCCCATGGAACTGCTTCTTAAACTGTCATCACAGTGCTGCTTGCTTGAATTGCATTCATGTCCACAGGCTTAATTGTCATAACAAAACTTCATAGTAATTTTGATCTATTTGAATTTCTAGATTCTGGGTTTTGACATATGAATTCCCATGTTAAAAAAATTTCCCTGAGAGGGTATAACTGCAAAATTAGATTCACAGAGACAGGGGAGAGAATAAGTGAGAAGAGAAGCAAGTATATATGTGGAATTCTTCATAAACGCATGCCAATGGATTTTGACTTCTGGGCATAACTTTGAATTCTAAATTTTAAACTACCACATGTAAGGACTTTCTAATAAGCCATGATGTTGGGTAAAACAAGTTTTGGTCTTTTTCCTTATGAATTGTTGTCCTCTGGCACTCTGTCCGTCCCCTTATTTATTTTTTATTTTTATTTATTTATTTATTTTTTCATCCTCTATCAGAAAAAATAAAAAAGAAAAAAGAAAAATTCAACATATGAGGAATGCTTCAGGATTTTAGTATATCTGGACAAGTTATGATATTTTATTATCATTTATTGGTTTTTGTTTAAAGTTTTAAATTGCAACATGGTTTATCCAGCACAGTTGACAGTTTTAAAGATGAGTAGCAATGATGAAGACCAATAGAATGATGACCATGATGATGAAGATACTGATGATGAAGGCAGCATATCACAAACCCAGCAAAATAATAATATGCTCTTAGCTACGGCGGCTACAGTTGCAGCGACATATGCAACAAATTATTTGATAAAAGAACCATGTAGGACATCTTGTTTAACAGGAGGGATGTGGATGGTGGAATTACAAGAAGGGAATCGGACAAGAATATTTGAAAATTTTCGAATGGAAAGAGAGGTATTTTATCAATTGTGTAATTTGTTACAAACAAATTATGACCTTCAAACTGGACGACAAGTCTCGGTTGAAGAGCAAGTTGCAATATTTTTGTTTATTGTTGGCGGTGACATTCGAAACAGAAATGTCCAAGAAAGATTTCAACATTCTGG